GACTAGCGAGCTACTAATGTGGCTGGTGGGCGTCATGCCACCGCAGAGAAGAGGACTGCTCTGTCAAAGAATACACCTTTATGACAGCAGGTATCAACCCTGTTATGCATGATGAAGGTGAACAGAGTACACCAAGCATCTGTCCAACAGAGGTCTTCCAGAAGAAAGCCCCTCAAAAAGGCAGTGGAGGTTACCACAGGTCTAGTGGAATGATCCTTAACCTGCCTAGGTAAAGTGCGACCAGTCACCTGATAAGTCAGACGAGCCGTCGAGATGACTGAAGAAGACAATAGTTGCGGAAACACTGGGAGGCCACTGGCATCCTCCCAGTACTTTAGAAATAGCCTAGGAGATTTCCCGAGTCTTGCTGTTCTGTGAATATCAAAAACCAAAGCCCTCCTGACATCTGATGCAAGGAAGAGGGAGGGTTTAGAGAAGGTTTGCAAAACTATCTCCTGAGACAAATGGGAGCATGGGGTTATCTTGGCTAGAAAGGGTATTGTCAGTGTGTGCCACAACCTTGTCCAAGTGAATCATAATAGGGCGCATCTGCCCAAAATGAGTGAAGATCACTCGCCCGACACGTCAAGGTAACAGAGCAAAGAAGTTATTTCCAACGTCCGCATGAGCCAAAGGCCCAAATTGAACCTTAATCAAGGAGAAAGCACAATCTCCAAGCTCCAAGGCAAGGCCAAGGGAACAACAGATGGTTAATTTTTCTGAACTCCCGAAGAAATAGACCAAACAAAAGGTCTGAGAAACATGACGGAAATTCACTTTACTCTTAAACCAAGATATGGCCACAAGGTAGGGAGAGGCCTGAATCCAAAAGAGACAGCAAAAATTCAGTCAGAAAGATCTGTGTTGAAAATGGGTCAACCTCCCTAAGGCAGCAAAGGCTGAAGCTGGGTTCATTGTAGATACGAGAGCACTTAGTGGAGGCTCTTTGGGCTGTCTCTATGATAATCCTCACTGGTTGTGACAAGAGAGGAACAGCTCTGACCAACTCATCTGACATATCCACCAATCCGAGTTGGGATGGAGGACTCAGTCCCCTTGAGACGTGAGGAGGTTTGAGCGATTCCATATGTTCACCAGCTCATCTCAGGACATCTCAATGAGGGAAGAAAAGCACGCCAAGGGGCAATGAGAATACAGACTACGTAGTCCACTTGTAGACTGGACACCACCAGATTGCGAAGAGAACCAGTAGAGAAACACATAGAGGAAGCAATGGGTCCCATCAGAGGAAAGCGCCCCTCTTAAATAGCCCCGCGGTAGATTTAGGGGCTGACTTGATACAACAAAAGGAGTGCTTGGCCATGTCATCTGTCATGACTAGATCTATCTCCAAGTTGTAGTGCAATAGGTGAATATGGAATTACTTGCACTGACTACGGGACTGGCTGGACACGATTACAGATAGCATGGTTAATAGTGAAAGTAATGTTTGTTTCGGGTTTTTTTGGTTTTGTTTTATTTTGGTTTTTTTTGTTTGTTGTTGTTGTTGTTGTTTTTTAATGCCTGTTGTGTTTTAAATTCTATTTTTAAAAGTTTATCCTAATTGTAAGCCATCAAATAATTGCATATATGTAAAGCTGCCTTAAGTCCCCTTCGGGGTTGAGCAAGGCGGGGTATACCACACGGTAATAAGTTGCCTCACAGTCTGAGTATACATCATACCACATCAGGACAGAGGGACCATTCATGATGGGTGACCAGTGTCCTACCAAGTGATCAGTTAATGTATTCTTGTCTACAGGGTTTACCTTTATAAGGTGGACCTATCTGTCAACACCCCAGTCCCATAGGTAAATGGGTTAATGACAGAAGTGGAAAGAGTGTGTATCACCCTGCTTGTTTATAAGAATTTGTTGGTAATGTTGCCTGTGAGGGCCTGGACTACAGGCCCCAATAGCAATGATTTAAGTATCTAAAAGGGCTCTTTGACCGCCAACAGTTTGAAGTGCTTTATGTGTCTGGAGGACTCTGTCCCGTGCCAAGTTTTTCGGGCAGTGAAGCCCACCGAATGTGCCCTCCAACTCCAAAGGGAGGAAATCATGGTTAGAATTCTTGGAGGAATTTGGTGGTCCGAAGGGCAAATGGCACAGATATTGTTTTGATGGGTAAACAACTAGAGGTTAATACACCTCTCATGGTCTCAAAGAAGGTATGAGGATCATCCTTAAGGCAATTGAATTGAGAACCATGCCTTAATAGCATTAAGACACTAGTCCAATGTGGGCTAGACAAAACTACGGTGAGGTGGATCTGTAATTGGTTAAATGGACGAACCCAGAGGGTGCTCACCAATGCTTCCTCTTCATCCTGGAAAGAAGTGACGAGCGGAGTGCCGCAGGGGTCCATCCTGGGCCCAGTCCTGTTTCTTAATGACTTAGATGAAGGGTTAGAAGGCAGGATCATCAAGTTTGCAGACGACACCAAATTGGGAGGGATAGCCAATACTCCAGAGGACAGGAGCAGAATTCAAAATGATCTTAACAGATTAGAGAGATGGGACAAAACTAACAAAATGAAGTTCAACAGGAAAAATGCAAGATACTCCACTTAGGCAGAAAAAACAAAATGCAGATACAGAATGAGGGACGCCTAGCTTGAGAGCAGTACGTGTGAAAAAGATCTTGGGAGTCCTCTTGCACAACAAGTTAAACATGAGCCAACAATGTCATGTGGCGGCAAAAAAAGCCAATGGGATTTTGGCCTGCATCAATAGGAGCATAGTGTCTAGATCTAAGGAAGTAATGCTATCCCTCTATTCCTCTATTGGTTAGACCACACCTGGAATATTGTGTCCAGTTCTGGGCACCACAATTGAAGAGAGATGTTGACAAGCTGGAATGTGTCCAGAGGACAGTGACTAAAATGATCAAGGATCTGGAGAACAAGCCCTATGAGGAGCGGCTTAAGTAGCTGGGCATGTTTAGCCTGAAGAGAAGGCTGAGAGGAGATATGATAGCCATGTATAAATATGTGAGAGGAAGTCACAGGGAGGAGGGAGCAAGCTTGTTTTCTGCTTCCCTGGAGAGTAGGACGAAAAACAATGGCTTCAAACTACAAGAAAGGAGATTCCATCTGACCATGAGGAAGAACTTCCTGACTGTGAGAGCTGTTCAGCAGTGGAACTCTCTGCCCCGGAGTGCAGTGGAGGCTCCTTCTTTGGAGGTTTTTAAACAGAGGCTAGATGGCCATCTGTCAGTGGTACTTTGAATGCAATATTCCTGCTTCTTGGCAGGGGATTGGACTGGATGGCCCATGAGGTCTCTTCCAACTCTATGATTCTACGATTCTACAAGCAAGGTGTTTACAGTTGCTTAAAAAGAGGGGAGAAGTGTGTGCCCCTAGGTGGCACCTATGCAGAGAAGGACTCGGAACTGGGCCAAGTTTCATTGCTCTCAGTCCAAAGGAAGTGATTCAGGGGAAATCTTTCATGAACGCCCCTTTTACAGGGCTGTTGAATAGATAAAACAGGAAGAAAACACGATACAAAGATAATAAAAGGACATTTTTTTCTTTTGCTTCCATATGACATTTTAATGCAAAAACAAAACAAAATTGCACTCTCTCTCTCCTTGTCTCACAATACTGTTGCTGCTGGGTTTAAAATATTTCAACCCAAATGGATTTTCTCACACTTCAAATTTTAAGAAATGAATGCGAAGGAACAAAAATCCCGTCTTCGCTCTACTTCCCTTACAGAAACTAAGAAAGAAAGAAAGGAATATCTCCAGCCAAACTGGAATAAAAGACCAGAGACTTTCAAATTGCTGAAGTGATGTGTCAGCTGGAATCCTGTAAACCATTTTTCTCAAAAGGCTTTAAACACCAAACATATACACGCATATATAGAAAGAGCTAGTGAGCTTAGTATGGTTCCCAGCATGCAAGAAACAGCACGCACGCCCAGCCTGTGAGTCTAGCTCTCCCAGCATGCAACAGCACAATCCACGTTTGATACATCCAGGAAATTAATGCTATACTCTTGGATGCTACATCTGAGTCTCCCCCCACCCCTGCTGTATGTGCATATGGGCACATAATGAGCACGTAAGGCATAAGCTATTTTTTAAAGTTTTGTAATGGCCCCTATTGAAAAAAAGAAACCATCAAAAAAGGTTGAAAAACAAACAGCAGATTATATGGTTCCAGCTGCAAATAGGGGGGGGGGGGGGAGAGTTGGATGACATGAGACATGGAATTTGTGTTTCCCTAAAATTGCATCTCATCCAGCGGTTGAATAGATTTCCCGCAAATAGCTCTAATCCTTTTAAGATGAAACAATCCAACCATACATAAGGTACCAAAAGCATGTATTTTCGAAGGCTTTCATGGCCAGAATCACTGTATTGTTGTGTGTTTTCTGGCCTGTCTGGCCATGTTCCAGAAGCATTCTCTCCTGACATTTTGCCTGCATCTATGGCAGGAATTCTCAGAGGTTGTGAGGTCTGTTGCAAATTAGGAAAATGGGGTTTATATATCTGTGGAATGATGTCCAGGGTGGGAGAAAGAACTCTTGTCTGTTTGCTACATTCACACCTAGCTCCAACAGACAAAAGTTCTTTCTGTCACCTTGGACATTCCACAGACATATAAACCCAATTTTCCAAGTTTCCAACAGACCTCACAACCTCTGAGGATGCCTGCTATAGATGCAGGTGAAATGTCAGGAGAGAATGCTTCTGGAACATGACCAAACAGCTCACAATAATATACTAAAAGTATATTTTCCAATTTGGGTCAGTGCCCTGTAATCCCTCAGGCAATGATCTTGGAATAGTAGAGGTTTGTTTCTCTTCTTCTGGACTGATGAGGATGGGGCAGAATACCCTTATGAATGTACAACCCAATTCAGGAACGTTTTCGGGGGGGAAAAGGTGGTTCTTTTATGTGTTAAAAGGACTGCGTGGACTTTTGAAAAGAAAATTCAATGGAAGTGAACCAGAAGGCTGTACAAAGACAAAAGACAATCAAACAAATAAAAGGTAAGAGAAGATAAACCAAATAATGTTATAATCTAGCTTCCTGGCTAGTCCTCCAAAACCACAATCTCTACATTATGGACCTGATGCTGATGCTCATCAACCTCAGCCACCATCTTCTCCTCAGTCCTGACTTCGGTCCCCAGAATCATAGCTTTGGCTCCCGATTCCACCGCCTCTGCTTCTGGGTCGGGCGCTGGGTCTATTTCTATGATGGTTTGCCCATCCTCGGAAGTGCCGTCTATGGCCTGGATGGTTGAGGTCAGCCCAGACTCCATGGCCACCAGTTCGACAGGGTTCACCATGGTGGCCACGTTGGCCAGGGCCCCGCCGTCCTGCATCGCCGTTGAGCTTAGCAGGGTCAGGCTTGAGGATGGGTGAAGGGTCACTGTTTCGGAAGAGCTGGTCTTGGAGGAGGAGACCACCGTGGCATAGCGGAACAGCTGTGAGCCCGATGGCAAAGTATGCACGGTGACGGGACTTGAACCCTGGCTGATGGTGGCCACAGGGATGTTGCTCACAGAGAACTGCTGTCCCATGGGCGCAATGGTGATGGGTGAGATGACGGTGAACTGAGGTTGCTGGACAGGGGCCGAGGGGCTCAGAACGGTGGCCGAGGCCGGGCGCTGCAGGCGGGGCCTCTTTGCAGGCTTTGGGTTGCTGACGGGCATCAGGACCACATTCTGGACTGTCTGAGATTTGACCCTCTGATCCCTGGCCAGCTTCTTTTGCTCCTCCAACTGGCGGTCCAGGTCTGCAAAAGAAGGAGGGGAAATATTGATTTGCAGAATTGGGGGACATCTATGGAAAAAAGGGTGTAAATTTTCAGTTGCTGGGTCCATTAGAGAAAATATGCACAAAATGTTTTACAGAAGCTACTATATAATAAGAACCATGCAAGACCTATCTCTTCTGGCAGGCCTACCTAGACCAGTGTTTCTCAACCTTTCTAATGCCACGACCCCTTAATACAGTTCCGCATGTTGTGGTGATCCCCAACCATAACATTATTTTCGCTGCTACTTAATAACTGTAATTTTGCTACTGTCATGAATCATAATGTAAATATTTGATATGTTGGATGTATTTTCTGGTTCACTGGACCAAATTTGGCACAAATACGCAATATCCCCAAATTTGAATACTGGTGGGGTTGGAGTGGAGTTGTACTTGCTGTGATTTATAGTTCACCTACAATCAAAGAGCATTCTGAACTCCATCAACAATGGAATTGAACCAAACTTGGCACAAAGAACTCCCATGACCAACAGAAAATACTGCAAGGGTTTGGTGAGCATTGACCTTGATTTTTGGAGTTGTTGTTTACCTACATCCAGAGAGCTGCAGACTCAAACAATGATAGATCTGGGCCAAAATTGGCACAAATTCTCAATATGTTAAAATGTGAACACTGGTGGAGTTAGGGGGAAATAGACCTTGGCACTTGGAAGTTGTAGTTGCTGGGATTTATAGTTGACCCACAATCAAAGAGCTTTCTGAACCCCACCAATGAAAGAATTGGGCCAAACTTCCCACACAGAACCCCCACGACCAACAGAACAAATAAAAATACTGTTTTCTGATGATCTTTGGCAACCCCTTTGACACCTCCCTTGCAACCCCCCAGTGGTCCTTGCAACCCCCAGATTGAGAAACACTGACCTAGACAGTCTTTAAACATGAATGTTAAGTCTCCTTTGTTTGATCTCTGTTTTGTGTGTTTTAGTATGTATTTTGTAGATATACATTTTGGTGTGTAACTTTTATAGAAGTATGTTTTAGTGCAGGCATGGGCAAAGTGAAGACCTGGCTGTTCGAACAAGCATTTGAGTAAACAGTGTAATTGAACATAGGAATACGGAATAATGGATGATGAGACTGGATTCTGATTTTACTGTTGAGGCGCTAATGATTGTTATACGGATGTTTAATTATTTATGTTACAATTGTTTTTAATTGCCCTATACTTGTCTCGTGATGTTTTGTATTGATGTTGTTCACTGCTTTGAGTCACCTGAGGGCTGAGAAAAGCGGTATATAAATAAATAAATAAATAAAGTTCAGTCCTCCAGGTGTTTTGGACTTCAACTTCCACAACTCCTAACAGCCAATAGACTGTTAGGAATTGTGGGAGTTGAAGTCCAAAACACTTGGAGGGCTGAAATTTGCTCATGCCTGTTTTAGTGTGTGTATTTGTAGTGTTTTTGCTGTGCTTAGGTGTTTTAATTCTTTTGTAACCCACCTCAAGCCAGGAGGAGAGGCAGTTAAGAAATAATAATATTAAAATATTATTATTATTATTGTTATTACTACTACTACTACTACTACTACTACTACTACTATATAACCTCAGATATGATAGCTAAAATAGACAAATGTTATCAAGGGGAATGCTGGAGGTACAAGATGCAGAAAGTTGCCTTTTCCCCATGTTTGGTGGACCTGTAGGTTGGTACAACATTTTTGGGAAAAGGCAGTTAAAGAAACAAAACAAAATAATTACTAAAAAAGGTCAAGAAAAACCCAGAAATGTGTATTTTAGGTTTAATTAGAGAAAGAAAGAATCAGTAAAGGAGATGAAGAAATTTGCAAATATAGCTTTGTTGCAGCAAGATTAACAATACCAAAATCTTGGAAGGGGGGAAATGGATATATGGAAAGGATGACCAATATATAGACTTTAAAGTAGCCACAAGGGGAATCTATTAAATAGATACAGTAGAGTCTCGCTTATCCAAAACAAGTGAAAATGTTGGATAATGAGGGATTAAGGAAAAGCCTATTAAACGTCAAATTATGTTATGATTTTACAAATTAAGCACCAAACATCATGTATGAGAGTTGTTATTATTAGGTATAAGATTTACATCAAGTAGTGTTGGAAGTCATAGGTGGTGGGTAAACGGGTGAGAGGAATGGAGGGTAAGGGTTTGATAACATGTTATAATTGTAAGGTTTCTTGTATTGACAAAGTCTTTCATGGCTGGAATCACTGGATTGTTGTAAGTTTTTCGGTCTGTATGGCCATGTTCCAGAAGCATTCTCTCCTGACGTTTCCACAAGCATGTGGACAATTTCAACAGAAAGGAAGAAGTCATGAAAATGAACAAAATCTGGCTAGCAGTATTTAAAAAACCCTCTAAAATCAGGACAGTAAATAAACAACAACACTCAAACACATGGGAACTCCAGACAAGAAACAATCAGGGACAGCTAATCACCTCTCGACAAAGAATTCTCCCAGACAGTACGAAGCCACACCTTGAAACTGCAAGGCCATTAAATGCTAATCAAGGCAGCCAATTGCAACATTCACACCTACCTCCAACAGACAAGAGCTTTTTTCTCCCACCCTGGACATTCCACAGATATATAAACACAATTTTCCTAGTTTCCAACAGACAACCTCTGAGGATGCCTGGCATAGATCCAGGTGAAACGTTAGGAGATAATGCTTCTGGAACATGGCCAGACAGCCTAAAAAACTTACAACAACCCACTCCACCATTTCTGTTAGTCACTCTATTATTTGTACTTGATTTTTTTACTTTTGGTTTGTCATTCACATGCAATAAAAATTAAAAATTTTACAGGTCTGCAAAATAATATGTTGAGCAATCAGCTGAGAACAAAGTTTGGAAATTGCCAGGGATATCATACCAAAAGGAGGAAAAAGGAAGTTATTTCCACACAAAGAGAAAAGCAGCTCCTTGGCAGGGAATTAATTCAGGCAGTTTTGCAGCTATCCAAAGAATGAAAGATGGGTAGAACAGACTACCTCTCAAAACAACTCCAATTCTTTCCAAGAACATAAAAAGGTGAGAGAGTGGGCCGAGGAAACTCCCTCCCCAAAGGTTCTGCTGACCTCACTGAGCTGTACACAGAAATTATTAAAACAAAGGATACATTTGGAAATGTCCAAATCTGCATCCAAATATCTTTAAGATAGTAGAGTAGTTTACTACTAGGGCTCTTGGAGGCCTCTCCTTCGTAGTATGGCCATAAGTCACACTTAACTCAACAGTAAATATCACTACTATAGGACTACCATGTTTGTGCACAATTCATCATTTCAATAATCACATATTTTCAAGAAGTCACTTCCTGAAAGAAGAAAAGAGCACATTTCCTGAAATAAGAACCAGGACATTAAGACTGCCTGTAAATAGATAGTCAGCTGCTGTCCTCTCCTTTTTGCCTCGTATTTTATTCGTGTTGTATTTTGAAATGGTCAAATAAATAAATTACTGTATATACTCGAGTATAAGCCTAGTTTTTCAGCCCCTTTTTTAGGCTGAGAAAGCTCCCCTCGGCTCTTACTCGAGTGAAGGTTATTTATTATTTTACTCTGTTATTAGTATTATTTTTATTTCATGTATTATTTTACTCTCTTTATTATTATTTCATTTACAGTATTTTACCCTATCCCTATTATTATTATATTTATTATTTTACACTATTTATGATTATTATTACATTTATTATTTTACTTTATTATTATTGCATGTATTATTTTACTCTATTATTACATTTATTATTCTACTCTATTATTACTGTTATTATTGCATTTCCATTATTTTACTTTATTATTATTATTATTATTCTTATTATATTTATTATTTTACTCTCTTTTTAAAAAAAAATATTCTTTATTAGAAAATTTTTCAGATACATTGAATAAAAACAGAAGGGGGGGAAGGGTTTTTCAGTTGTATAAGGTCGTTAAAAAGTTAGTATGGGGAGGAGGGGGGGTGGGGATCGGTGGGAATAAGGAAGGATATTGTTGGAAGGATATGTAAGTACATTTACATTGAATATATGTAATGATTTAATCAGAGTTGTGCAGTCTTAACTCAAATTACAGTTTTATGTAAATATTAAAAAAACATTTCACCTCCTGATGCCTCAATTAATGTAATTGTATTGTTATCTATTTTTATTTTGAAATTTACCTGTAGTGGCTGCATTTCCCACCTCCGGCTTATACAACATGTTTTCCCAGTTTTTTGTGGTAAAATTAGGTGCCTCAGCTTATATTCAGGTCGGCTTATACTCAAGTATATATGGTATATATATTATATAAGAAGTCACTATACTAAATACAGTATTAGTAAAGGTAAAGGTTTTCTTTGACATGAAACCTAGTCATGTCCGACTTTGGGGGTTGGTGCTTATCTCCATTTCTAAGTCAAAGATCCGGCGTTGTCCACAGACGTCTACAATGTCATGTGGCTAGCATGGAGCGCTGTTATCTTCCCGCCAAAGCGGTACCCACTGATCTACCCACATTTGCACGTTTTTGAACTGCTAGGTTGGCAGAAGCCGGGCCTAACAGCGGGAACTCACCCCACTCCCCAGATTCGAACCACCGACCTTTCAGTCAGCAAGTTCAGCAGCTCAGCAGTTTAACCCACTGCGCCACCAGGGGGCAGTATTAGCAAACAAAAAAACATCACTACTGATGATAGATGGAGAAAACAACAAAAATGAATACATGAGAGAGAAAATATACAGGTTGACTATCCCTTATCTGAAATGTTAAAATGCTTTGGATTTCATTTTTTCCAGATTTTAGAATACTCATATTTGCTTATATGTCCACTAGCCGGCCCCTGCCACGTGTTGCTGTGGCCCAGTCTGTGTTTTGTGTGTGTGTATATATTTGTGTATGTGTGTGTTTGCGTATATATATATATATATATATAGGTGCATATATGTGTGTGCATGTGTGTGTGTGTAGATATGTATATATGTGTGTATATATTTGTGTGTTTATATGTGTATATGTATATTGTGTATATATGTGTGCATGTCTCTATGCATATTTGTGTTTATATATAATAATAATAATAATAATAATAATAATAATAATAATCCTTTATTTGTACCCCGCTACCATCTCCCGGAGGTCTCGGTGCAGCTTACAAGAGGCCGAGCCCAAATACAACAGTCAAACAGCAACAACAACAAAATAACTCAAAAACAAAGCAATAACATTAACAACACACAATGATGCAATTAAAAACAATGGCAGGGCCAGATGTAATAATAAAATTTAAAAAGTGCTGGCCGTGACAAGGTGGAGTGTTTGGAGGGGTGTGGGCATGTAGATATCTTAGATCTCTGATAAAGTGTGTTAGGACATAATGCTAGGAGTTTCCTTATTCTGGAAAGGCACATTTGAACAACCATGTCTTCAAGCTCCTCCTAAAGATTGCTAGTGACTGGGCCTCCCTGATGTCTTTAGGGAGAAAGTTCCAGAGTCGAGGAGCCACCACAGAGAAAGCCCTATCCCTCGTCCCCACCAATCGCGCTTGCGATGCAGGTGGGACCGTGAGCAGGGCCTCTCCAGATGAACAAAGAGATCATGTGGGTTCGTACACAGAGATGCGGTCACGCAGGTAGGTGGGTCCCAAACTGTTTAGGGCTTTGTAGGTAAGCACCTCCACCTTGAATTGGGACCGGAAAATGAATGGCAGCCAGTGGAGCTCCTTAAACAGGAGGGCTGACCTCTCCCTGTAAAATGTGTATGTATGTGTGCATGTGTATATTTGTGTGTGCATGTGTATATGTATAAATGTGTATGTATGTAGATGTATGTGTGTGTATATTTCTGTGTGCTTGGGTGTATATATATACACATGTGTGCATGTGTATATGTATATGAGTGTATGTGTGTGTGTATATATATATATATATATATATAGAGAGAGAGAGAGAGAGAGAGAGGGGGGGTGTATTTTTGAGGGTTTTAATTCCGTTCTGCTGGGTTTTTTTTTTTTGTATTTTTAGGGTTGATGAACACTCGTTGGACTATTAGGTGTATTGTGTCATAATTTCGTGTCAATTCATCCAGTGGTTTCTGAGTTATGTTAATCCCACAAACGAACATTACATTTTTATTTAAATAGATAATGAGATATCCTGGAGATGGGACCCAAGTCTAAATACAAAATTCATTTCTGTTTTATGTATACTTTATACACATAGCCCAAGGATAATTTTATACAATATTTGTTGATAATTTTGTGAATCAAACAAAGCCTGTGCACATTGATCTGTCAGAAAGAAAAGTGTGGACAAATTCCAATTTTCGAGGATTTGGTGTGCTCAACCTGTCTAGATATAGATATATAGATATATACAAAGAGGCTTAGCCTATGGTCAAAAAGGCATTGATCACATGCCTCAAATTGAAGCAAACATTCTAAAAGATGCTCAAGTAGCTTAGGTTGGTGGGAAGTGTCTTAACAGAAGGACAATCTTGAGTGATAATGAATGTACTGTGTGTATAGTAAAACAAGAAACACACACCTGGCTCTTGCACAATAAACAAACAGGTTTAGTGTATTGTCGAAGGCTTTCATGGCTGGAATCACTAGGTTCTTGTGGGTTTTTTCGGGCTATAGAGCCATGTTCTAGAGGCATTTCTCCTGACGTTTCGCCTGCATCTATGGCAAGCATCCTCAGAGGATGCTTGCCATAGATGCAGGCGAAACGTCAGGAGAAATGCCTCTAGAACATGGCTCTATAGCCCGAAACAGGTTTAGATTATCCCAATAAATCTTGACATACCTGCAAGAGTAAAGAGGAACTGCTCTTCCCCCTGATCAGTTTGACTTTTCCTATTGTCCAGCACTCTCTTGACTGTGTCCATCAAACCAAAAGTATGCGCAACGTTATTTAAGACAGCAGCATCTGCAGAGACAGAAAAAGACGTTTTAAATTTTCAATTGACATTTTATAGATATAGATTATTTTTATGCTTTTGCACTGTTAATCTTTCTGCTTTAAATGATTTTATGTTTTTACTCATCTATTGTATGTTAACTCTATGTTGTATCCTGCCTCAAGTCTTAAGAGAGAGGAGGGTAAGAAATGCATTTTGTTGTTGGTATTATTATTATTATTATTAGATATACAACAAGATTAGTACACAGCAAACAAGAGCACTATACTGGCTGTTGTATTGGATCACACGTTGGGCACTGTGCACATCCTAGTAGGGTGACCTTTTGCAGCTGACAGATGGTAATTTTGTCAGCGGCAATTGTTTTAAAGTGAAGGCCAAGGTCTTTAGGCACTGCACCCAGTGTGCCGATCACCACTGGGACTCCCTTGACTGGCTTGAGCCAGAGTCTTTGTAGTTCGATCTTTAAATCCTCGTATTGAGTCAGCTTTTCCAGTTGCTTCTTATCAATACTGTTGTCACCTGGGATTGCAACCTCGACGATCCTTACATTTTTCCATGATCATGAGGTCAGGAGTCTTGTGTTCCAAAATATTATTTTGGAGCACATCATCATCGTCATCATTATTATTATTATTGGGTTGTTGTAGGTTTTTCGGGCTATATGGCCATGTTCTAGAGGCATTCTGCTGACACACGTGTCATAGGTTCGCTGCTGACACACGTGTCATAGGTTCGCCATCATGGTCCTAGGCCAAAAATGGATGGCCGATTCACAGTGTAAACACGCTCGTCGAGATGAGGGCACTTTAATCACAGTTACGTAATCATAACAGCACAGTATAAGGCACAGTAGCAAGTTCCAAAGAGTCTCGCAAGTAAGACCGAAACACCCAAATTCCCCCATGTGGAGGAAACATTGTAACTTTAGCACATAAAAAACATCTGTTTGCATAATAAGCATACAGCATCACATTCTGAGAACAGGGATATCAAACCCTGAAGAGGCACCCCCGTGAGGAGGGAGACATTGAGGAGAACATGGTATCGAGACCCAATAAACAGTATGGTATCGACACACGAATACAGTAACGATGAAATCAAACCGGGCAAGATGCCAGGATTGCCCTCCCAAAGGCCATGTCAGGTCTATGCCTGGTGTCCAGTCTATAGTGGGAAACAAACATTTGCGGATTCGCCCAGATAGCTGCCTTGCAAATAGAGTCCAATGGAATACCCTTTAAAAAGGCAGTTGAGGCTGCTATCGCCCTGGTTGATCGAGCCCGAACAACCGAAGGGGGCTGGTGGTGAGCCAGTTGGTAACACAGCTCCATGGTCGATGCGATCCAGTGGGACAGATGTTGTGAGGATATCGGCAGGCCCAGTTTATCCTGAGCATATGACACCAAGAGTTTCTGAGTCCTACAGGACTGAGAAGTTCTGTCCTTGTAGAACAGTAAGGCTCTCCTCACATCGAGAAGGTGTAGCCTCCTCTCCACTGGGGTGGAGGAGGCCTGGAAGAAGGAAGGCAAAACAATGTCTTCGTTAACATGGAATGGGGAAACAATTTTGGGGAGAAAGGACACATCCATGTGGAGAACCGCCCTATCCGCATGGAAAATCAAGTAGGGTTCATCAATTCGTAGCGCTGCTAGCTCAAACGGCCTACGGGCCGAGGTGACTGCCACAAGAAAGGCCACTTTCCAGGAAAGGAGATGAAGCTCCGTTGTCGCTAAGGGTTCGAAGGGGGGTCGCACCAGCTGGGCCTGCCAGGAAATGGCAGCAAGGTGAGATTTCAAGGATGAGAGCGAGAGTCCGCGCTCGGTAAGGGTCAGCAGGAACTGAAGCACAGAAGGTATCGAGGGCTGAGGAGCCACGATCCCTTTCTCGCGAAGGAAGGTCTGGAAATGTCGGTATGGGACTCCGCCTCGACGCTTAAACTGGAACCATCTTATTCTCTGTGCTTGAGATTGGTTCTCGATCCCACATTTGGCTGCCAGGATTTTGAAGTCCTGGTTTGCTTTTAGCTTATCGTCAGTCCCTGCATTGAAGAGGCCAAGGGCATCAAAGGGTAGGTCCTTGATAACTTGTCTTGACGATGTCGAGAGACCAGAGGAACAGAGCCAAGCGTGTCTTCTGATGGCAACCGCATGGGCGATCATCTTCCCCGCTGTGTCACTCGTATGTTTGGCCATTTGCATCTGGTGATGCGCCAAAGAGTTAGCTTCCTGGGCCAGCATAGACGGGACAGTACGGTCTTCTTCTGACATTCTCTGGAAGAACGGCATCGCCTTTTTCCAGAGGATTTGCTGGTAGGCCCCCATGCACGCGCCATAGTTAGCCATCCTGGCCAGCAAGAGGGCGCCGGAGTAGAGCTTTCTGTCTACTGTGTCGAATCTCTTTCCTTCTCGGTCTGAAGGAGTTGAGGATTGCCTCTCAAATGCCTGGGCAGCTTTCACGACCACCGGGTTAGGGTCGGAGTGGTGTTTTAGCCATTCAAGGCCTTCATCGTCAGTTCGATACCAGGTCTCGATCTTCTTAGAAGTCGGAGGGATGGAGGAAGGGGTTTTCCAGGAACCTTGGATAACATCGAGGAGATAAGGCAGGAACAGTAGGAAAGGGGCTGGTGGGGATTCAGATTGCACCCGCTTAAAAACTGGGTCGGTCAATGCCTTGGAGGTGTGCTTTATCTTCAAACCCAAAGTCTCCACCATGCGGGCCATTGTCTGTTGGCGATGGAGGGTCAACCTCATGGGCATCGTGGGTAGGTGATCTTTCGATCCCGAGGGACAGTACCGAGCCCGAATGAATCGATGCCAGAATCTCGCCATCTTCCTCTTCTTCCCCAGCTACCGAGGGAGGGGGAGAGGATGAAGAACGGTCCCGTGCGGGCTGGGGTGGCGGCATCAACGATGCGGCTGGGGGTTGTGCAGCCGGGGGTTGTTTGGATGCCAAGGATTGGGCAGCGCGCTCCAATCTTGTTGTTTGCCTCCCTCTCTCCGATGTTCCCGCAGGTGGGAAAAGCTCCTGTCTAGCAGTCACAGAATGAACGGGTGCCTCTATCACCGTCTCCACCGAGGCCCCTGGGGACTCTGGCCGCTCTACAGGCACCTCTGTCGGCATTTGTTCCTCCTGCGTTGGCTGCGGGAGTGGCTCTAGCTGGGCCGACTGTATCGGCGAAGACCTCGATGACGAGGTGGCCGAGGAGGCTGTGGTAGCTCTTCGCGAGGACGAAGACGAGGAACGTGGCGGCATTGTCTTTTTCTTTTTTTTGCCGGGGGTTGGGTCGAAGCCGACTTCGAGATTGACTTGCCCGTCATAGGAGGGACGGAGGAGGAGGAAGTAGCAGCGCATCGAGACTCTTCTTGAGTCTGGCGGAGGGCAATATGAACTGCCGTGGATGAGGGCGGAGTTGCCGATGTCGACCTCGTGGATCGAACTGACCTCACTGAGGCCACCGAGCTGGTCAAGGAATGGCGCACCCGTACAGTTTCAGTAGTCACTGTGCATGGTCTTGCAGCCTGTTTGGTCGGCCTCGTGGTTTTCGAGGTCATCGACATGGTTGCCCTGGGCCTCTTCTGGGCCGCTTTCTTTGCCCTCGTCTGTCGAGTTGCGGGCTGAGCTGGCGGGTCGGCCTGTTGAGAGGTCGATGCCGCTGTCAATGTCGACGGTCGTGAGGTCGATGCCGATGTCGATGGCCGAGCCGTCAACGTCGAAGGTACCGGAGCCAGAGATTGTTGGTAGAGTAGGTACCTAAGACGATGAACCCGGTTTTTCCGGGATTGTGCCGTCAGCGCTTGGCAGTGACGGCAGGAATCGGCGATATGTGCCTCGCCAAGGCAGAGAAGACACAAGGAATGCTTGTCGGAGTCAGGGATTTTCTTCGAACACTGCATGCAGTGTTTAAATCTGGTTGTTGACATCTCAGAAGTACCGAAGTGAGCCGTGCGGCGGAAAAAAAGGAATTGCAAGGGTGCGCGCGGGGCGCCCTTTTATGTCCTGCCGGGGCTGGGCGGGGTTACCGCCAAAACTTCAAAAGTTTAAACTAGAGACGTTTCCGTTGGAGCTCGCGCAGGCGCAGTCTCTCCACAAGTGTGCATTCACAGAGACCACGAAGAAAAAATATGGATTTTGTATTATTATTATTATTATTATTATTTGTATGAAAAGCATGTAGTCCTCCACTCGACTCCAACTGCAACCTTTAATACATGGAATACATTTTGCAAAGAAGCATAGGTTTAATGCACTGACTGCTGCTGACCTTCTACCCACCGGTAATCTGGAAGGATGACTGGCCAAGTCTCTGCTGAACACCTCTCAGCACCTCTTCTATCTCCTTCTGAATGTTGCAGACAACTTCCTCCATCAAGCCCACATCAGCAATTCCTTTCCAGAACATTAGTGTATCCTCTGGCATAAGAAAAAAGGAGAAAGATTTAAGGGAATCCTGCAAAGCTAAGTAGGAAACAATGCCAAGATCAAGACTCTGCTATGCAGCAACAGGCTTCTAATGAAACCATTCTAGGCATTTCTGCTATACCTGGGAAGTAGCTGAACTCAGTGGCTCTTACTTTAGAGCAGACATATACAAAACTTCATTCTACGCTGGCAAATAATGATCAAAACAGATAATACACATTGTCTGCTTTGGATTATACAAGTCTAAACTGCCACATAATCCAGTTCAAAGCAGATAATCTGGATTTTATACGGCAGTGTAGAAGGGGCCTTAGACAATTGTATCTTGCAAAAGCTACAGTGTGTTTCAAAACAATGGGACCAATTTCAAAGCAGTATATTTCAGGACGGCAACATGTTACAATTCCACAAAAAGTTACAAAATGGCTTAATGAGTTATCAACTTTTTATTAACCATTTTGAACCAGAAACAAATCTAAAAAGTGGAGAATATCTCATCAGGCCATATGTTGCAGGGTTGCAGTCTTGCAAATGACTGAGGCTGAGGGCCATTTGTGTGCGGTGAGAGACACCAAGAAGTATTTATTTATTTATTTATTTACCTCATGAAGGTGGGTCTAGCCAGGGTGGTCCATGCCTTAGTCACCTCCAGATTGGACTCCTGTAATGCACTCTACGTGGGGCTGCCCTTGAAAACGGCCCAGAAATTTCAACTGGTTCAACGGGCGGTGGCCAAATTGTTAAGTGGTCAACCCTCCTGTTTAAGGAGCTCCATTGGCTGCCGTTCATTTTCCGGTCCCAATTCAAGGTGCAGGTTCTTACCTACAAAGCCCTAAACGGTTTGGGACCGGCCTAACTGCGTGACCGCATTTCTGTGTACGAACCCACATGATCTCTCCAATCATCTGGAGAGGCCCTGCTTGCGCTTCCACCTCCTTGGCAGGCGCGATTGGTGGGGACGAGGGAGAGGGCCTTCTCGGTGGTGGCCCCTCGACTCTGGAACTCACTCCCCAAGGACATCAGGCATGCCCCAACTCTGGCAGTCTTTAGTAGGAGCCTGAAAATGAAGTTGTTCCAGTGTGCCTTCCCAGAATAAGGAAACTCCCAGCAATATGTCCCTAAATGCACTTTATTAGTGACTCTAACCCTAACCCCATCCCTCTCCGAAAATTCTGTCCTAGCTATATTTCACCTGTCATGCTCAGCATTATTTTAAAATTTTTAATCATTACATTTGGCCCAGTCATAGATTTTTAAATGTCGTAGTGTTATTGTTAATGTTTATTGCTTATTTTCTGCTTATGAGTTTTATTTATTGTTTTGTATTACTGTTGTTATTGTTTTTATTGTTGTATTATGGGCTCGGCCTCATGTAAGCCGCACCGAGTCCCTTGGGGAGATGGAAGCGGGGTACAAATAAAGTTTTATTATTTATTTATTTATTTATTTATTTACTACGCTTCTATACCGCCATTCTCAGCCTGAGGGCGACTCATGGCGGTTTACAAAACGGCACAATTCGATGCCCACAACAGTACAAAAATAGTTTAAACATTAAAAACATTTAACATAGATAAAAAAAATCATTACAATTAACATCAATACCCATTATAAAAAACCATAAGTCCTCCGCATTTCATTAATCAGTCATTGTCACTCATCAGTCAAGTAATCATTGGAAACTCTATGCCCCACACTCTTAAGTAGTAAAGAGTTTTATTCATGAACAGTTGCAGTTGCAGAAATATAGTGGCTTCAAGCTGGGCCCATCTTTTTGAAACACCATGTGCAATTTGATTCTAAGAGCAGAGAAAGTAGTAGGTGATTGCACATTACTGTACCATAAAGGGCTGCATGGTCAGCAAGTGACCCAGGAATCATGGCTGAATGGCCATCTGTCAGGGATGCTTTGAATGTGCTTTTCCTGCAAGGTAGAGGGTTAGATAGATGGCCCATGTGGTCTCTTCCAACTCTATGATTATATGCTTCAAGGGCTAGGGACACACAAACTGTTGAGTAGTCAATTCAGTCCAGATCACAGAAGACTTGTGAGCAAAACAAGTGGGAGGTCATCAGCTTATCCAGAAGTTGTTATAACACATCAATAGCCCAAGTACAAGAAGTCAGCAAGGAGTAAATAGAATTGTCAAAGTGCAGCCAGTCCAAAATCATGAAAACATAAACACTGAAGAATACAGTCTAGACACCCACAGGAGACTGTTGTGAGCAACAGCAACACTGGACAGCTGCTGGGAGATTTATATGGAACTGTCTACAAAGCACCAGGTGCCTAATTTATCAGCATCTCCTATTTAATTGCTGCTGGGACTGTGTAATTTCTATCTCTTTAATGTTCAGCAAAGGATAATGGCATGGTTTCTATGCCCTCTGTGTCTGTCATGTCCTGCTGAAGGGCAGGGTCAATATTGTCTTAGCCTCCAAGTCCCCCCACACTCTGGAAGACCCCTGTCATGAACAGAGGCACATTCCTGGACATCCGAATCCTCCATGTCTGAATCTTCTCACTCTAGTGACTTATGGCATTACTCCACTCCCCACAATCTTGCTGGGGATTCAGATTTAGCAGGACAGCTTCAGTGGAACCGATGTATTAATACAGGAGCAAGAACATCAGATTCATCTTCCCTAACACACTCTTCTATTCCATATCTAGCTCAATTGATGAGGTTATAGAGTCACCCACAGCACATGTGAGAACCTTTATCTGAACTACTTTGCACTTCTTCTCCTTTCCCACCATTACTGGAGGGAGTGGAAATGCTGACTCAGTATCAGGACTGGTGTCCACTGGACAGCTGCTGAGACATTTATTTATTTATTTATTTATTTATTTTTATTGATCGATTTTATATACCACCACTCCCCGAAGGCTCGGAGTGCGATACATTACATTTAAAATCAAAGCAAAATTTCAATCAACAAGATTCAAATGCCAGCCTAAATAAATAAGTTTTACAAGCGAAAAGATAGTAAATCTCGGAGAGCTTGTGTTTCTGCTGACAAGGCACTCCATAGGTAAAGAGCCACCACTGTGAATGCTCTACACCTAGTCAGGTGAAAGGTCCTAAAACTGGGAACTTCAAGGAAATTCTGATTGTCTGAACGGAGTGATCTCGGGGGTTGGTAGGGCGTGAGGCGGTCCCTCAGGTACTCCGGCACCAGGTCATATAAGGCCTTAAAAGTAAGAATCAGCACTTTGAAGGTAATCTGGTGCTCAATCAGCAACCAGTGCAGTCGCTGCAAGATTGGAGTGATATGACACCTTGCTGGGACCCCTGCGAGAAGCCGGGCAGCAGCATTTTGCACTAGTTTGTTTCCGGATCACCGATAAAGGCAGGCCTATGTAGAGGGTGTTACAGTAGTCCAACCTTAAGATGACCTTAGCCTGGATCACCGTGGCCAGGTTGTCCCTGGACAGATAGGGAGTCAGACACCTAGCCTGACGCAGATGGAAAAATGCGACTCAGCTCGCAGCGGAGGCCTGGGCCTCCATCGTCAGTAGAGGGTCTAAAAGGACTCCCAGACTCTTTAACAAAGATGATGGGCATAATATCACGCCACCCATGGTAGGCAACCGGATCATTCCTCCGTCCGGGCGACCCAACCAAAGGATCTCTGTCTTTGCCGGATTCACCCTCAACCTGCTGGCATACAACCATCCAGTAACGGCCTCAAGGCATTGATGGAAATTATCGGGTATGGAGTCTGGTCGGCCTTCCATCTTCAGAATGAGTTGAGTGTCATCAGCATACTGATAACACTCAAGCCCAAAGCCTCGCACCAGCTGAGCAAGTGGTCGCATATAGATGTTAAACAACAGGGGAGAAAGGATAGCCCCCTGAGGGACCCCACATTCAAGAGGGGCCCTCTTATATGGAACTGTCTACAAACCACCAGGTGCCTAATTTATCAGCATCTCCTGTTTAATTGCTGCTGGGACTGTGTAATTTCTATCTCTTTAATGTTCAGCGAAGGATTGTGGCATATCTTCTGTTCCATATCTAGCTCAATTGATGAGGTTATAGAATCTTCTATGCCCTCTGTGTCTGTCATGTCCTGCTGAAGAGCAGGGCCAATATTGTCTTAGCCTCCAACTCCCCACACTCTGGAAGACCCCTGTCATGAACAGAGGCACATTCCTGGACATCTGAATCCTCCATGTCTGAATCTTCTCACTCTAGTGAGGTATGGCACTACTCCATTCCCCACAATCTTGCTGGGGATTCAGATTTAGCAGGACAGCTTCAGTTTAACCGATGTATTAATACAGGAGAACACTAGATTCATCACACACAGCACATGTGAGAACCTTTATCTGAACTACTTTGCACTTCTTCTCCTTTCCCACCATTACTGGAGGGAGTGAACATGCTGATTCAACAACAACAACAATTTTATTGATTAGCCAGTTGGCCTTATCAAAACAGACAGTGCAAACACAACATACAACATACATCTGGTCCTCTTAAAATAAAAATACAAATAGAAATATACAGGTGTTTGTTAGCTTGAAACCAATGTAGCTTACCCGTAGATATATGCATCAACTATTCTCGTCTCCCCTACACTGCACCCCAATCTGATCTATGTACTCTGATCTCCTTTTAGCAGCTTTAAACTAATAAAGGGCAACTTTTGTTGTCAGAATGGGGTTGTAACCGTCCAACAAAAATGAGGTTTTGGCCGCTGTATCCCAGCTTGTTTTATTGCATATAAAAGGCCATAAGTATTGTTTCCTTTCTTTTTCATATAGATTGCAGTTATGTAAAGTGTGGTTTGGATTTTCGACTTTGGGGCACCATAGATACAGAGTCTTTCTTTGTGTGGGATGTGATTGAATCTGCCATGCATGCTGACTCAGTATCAGGACTTGTTCCGTCTTCCAGGAGCATAGTTTGCATTACCTTTTAGTTGCATGGGATAGTGTTCTTTTGCATTTCCCCAGGGCTGCTACAAGACCCAGCAGCACCCTGGAAGTTAAACAGTATCAGAGTCTGCAAAGCCAGCCTGCAGGCCCTTTGGCAGCTATTGGTTTAGGAAAGTATCTCTTTGGGTTTAGAGACAGCCCTTTTTCCTAGGGTTTGAGGTCTCCATTTTGGAATCTCCCCTGACTCCTTCTGTAGAAAAAGAAAGCTTCAGATGTGCTGTTGGTCAGGCAGGTAGCTCTGAAAAAATCATTGTAAGTACAATTGAGGATTGGGACATGAAAGGCACTGCAGACTGGTTCAAACAGAGAAGTCAGCCATAGCAGAGCAGCTGATGAACCAACCTGGACACAGAATATTATTATTTGAGAACATAGAAATGCTGGACCACTCTAACAACCACCATGTCAAACAACATAGAAAAGCCATTGAAATCCATAAGCATGAGGATGATTTCAACAGAAAGGAGGAAACCATGAAAATTAACAAAATCAGGCCACCAATATTTTAAAAAACTTCAAAATCAGGACAGTAAATAAAGAGCAACACGAAAAATACAGGGGAAATCCAGACAAGAAAAATCAGGGCCAGCTAATCACCTCCCAACAAAGGATTCCCCCAGGCAGGAAGCAGCCAGGCTTTGAAACTGCAAGGCCATTAATATTTGCCTACAACAGAGTTCTTTCTCCCACCTTGGACATTATTGCACAGATATATAAACCTAACTTGCCTAATTCCCAATAGACTTCAACACCTCTGAGGATTTTTTTTCCTGTTCGGAGCAACACGAGAAACTGCAAGTCGCTTCTGGTGTGAGAGAATTGGCTGTCTGCAAGAATGTTGGCCAGGGGACGCCTGGATGTTTTTACTATCCTTGTGGGAGGCTTCTCTCATGTCCTCGCATGAGGAGCTGGAGCTGATAAAGGGAGCTCATCTGTGCTCTCCCCAGATTAGAACCTGTGACCTATCGGTCTTCAGTCCTGCTGGCACATGGGTTTAACACACTGCGCCATCGGAGGTTCCACCTCCGAGGATGCCTGCCATAGATGTGGGTGAAATGTCAGGAGAGAATGCTTCTGGAACATGGCCAGGCAGCCCAGAAAACTCACAGCAACCCAATAATCAAGAAACTCAGAATTTCAAGAAGGCTGATTTTATTAAGCTTCCCATTGTCATAAATTCTCAAAGGGAAGGGAGTCTATGGTGCACGAGAGTTTCATTAAAACAATATTAAAGGCATAGCTGCAAAAAAAAATCCAGTAAGGAAGTAAAATAGGAGGTGTCTAAAAAAGCCAAGATAAATGTACAAATAAGCTTGTGATTATTATTATTATTATTATTTGCCGTGTCAGGAGTGACTTGAGAAACTACAAGTCACTTCTGGTGTGAGAGAATTGGCTGTCTGCAAGGACATTGCCCAGGGGACACCCGGATGTTTTGATGTTTTATCATCCTTGTGGGAGGCTTCTCTCATGTCCTCGCATGAGGAGCTGGAGCTGATAGAGGAAGCTCATCTGCGCTCTCCCCAGATTCGAACCTATGACCTGTCGGTCTTCAGTCCTGTCGGCACAGGGGTTTAACTTGTGATGAACTGAGATTTAAAGCAAGCGTATAAGAAAAATGGAAGAAGGGAAAACCACCAGAAAAGAATACAAACAAATAGCCAATTCCTGAAGGGACAAAACCCAGAAGAAAAACCTAAGGCTCAGAACAAGCTCAGGCTTACCAGAGAGTTGAAAACTTTTTGAAAAAAATCAATTTTCTGCTGTGCACTAAACAAGAATAAGGAACATTCAAAGTCTAGGAATATGAATATCTGTCTAAATAATATGTCACCTCTAATATCAGCCTAGTTGATATTATATCAATGCAGTGGAAGACAGCAGGAAGATAGATGCCTGAGATATACAGCCAAATGCATGGGACGTACCTGAAATCTCATCTGGGTCCTTCTTGATTCCCTCATCTGTTGCCATGGTGACTGCTGCAGTCAGAGCAGAGTTCCATTCAATCCCTTCCTCCATGCTTTCCTCAGATACTGCAATTTGTGTGATGCTTCCTGAAGGAAGGGAACACTCAAGTGAGGATACTCCATAGGCAATGCTGCCAAGCTCACAGCTTTTATGGTCAGAGCTCCCCAAATGGATTTAATCATACTTTATTGATCAAGTTCTGCCAAACAACTCCCATCCACTTCAACCAATGAGGATGACGGGATGCAAAACCCAATGTTTCTGGGGGGCACCTGGCTGGAGAAAACTCCAAAGTAACAGAAGTTAAATTAAGCTATTATTAACATATATTTCTCTTGGCAGTAGATCCTGAAAACCTTCAGAAAATTTTGAAGACCCAACTGAAAGACTGAGATTAGCACTAGATCGTCTGCATACATTGAGAGAAAAAGTATTTAGTCAGATAACAATGGTACAAGTTTATGTTGATCATTAATGTAGCATTGGAGCAGGGGACTTTTCCATCTAGACTAAAACAGGCTGTGGTTAGACCACTCCTGAAAAAGACTCCACGGTCTTGAACAACTATAGACAAATCTCCAACCTTCCTTTCTTGGGCAAGGTGTTGGAGCGGGTGGTCGCCTCTCAGCTCCAGGGTTTCCTGGATGACATCAGTTACCTGGACCAGTCACAATCTGGCTTTAGGCCTGGTCACGGTACCGAGACGGCTTTGGTCGCCTTGGTGGATGACCTCCGTAGGGAGCTGGACAGGGGGCGTGTGACCCTGTTGGTTCTCTTGGACATCTCAGTGGCTTTTGATACCATCGACATTGGTATCCTTCTGGGACGACTCTCCGGGATGGGTCTTGGCTTCCTGGAGGGCCATTCCCAGATGGTGAAGCTGGGAGACACCTGCTCAGACCCCTGGCCTTTGACCTGTGGGGTCCCGCAAGGTTCCATTCTGTCTCCCATGCTTTTTATATATATATAAATTTTATTGGGTTTTTATGGTTACAGCGAAAGTGGGGGAATAATTCAAGAAGATAGAAAAGTAGGAAAATACCAAAGCAGTAACACCAGTGGATAGAGAAAAAAGAAAAAAGAGGATAAAAGAAGAGGAAAAAAAATCAAGAAACAAAAATCGAAAATCTAAAAAATAAGAAAAAAATCAAAAATCAAAAAATTGGGATTTGGACTCCCTTCTGATTCTGCCCGTCCGATATCTTCTCTTGTGTGTATGTTTCAATTTATGCTTCCATTGTATCCTCAGTACATTTATAAGTCTTTATATCTTGTTTCAATATAATAATCAATTACTGACCAGTTTGTCTGTTTGAGTGGATTGCCTGTATTCTTTTTTTAATAAAAAAGTTAACATATCCATGTCCTTTATTTCATTCATCTTCTTTATCCAGTGGAGTTTCTCTGGTATTTCTTTCTGCTTCCAGAGTTTCGCAGACAATTCTGGCGGCCGTTGTCAAATACATAAACAGAATATCCTCATTAGAGTCTAAATTAATGTCAGCATCTAAAATTCCCAGTAAATAGTATTCTGCTTTTCTTGGGAATTTTTTTATTAAATATCATTTGCATTTCTTCGTGAATGCCTTTTCCAGTATTTCTGTCTCCCATGCTTTTTAACATCTACATGAAACCGCTGGGAGAGGTCATCCGGAGTTTTGGAGTTGGCTGCCATTTTTACGCAGATGACATGCAACTCTACTACTCTTTTCCACCTAATTCCAAGGAAGCCCCTCAGGTACTGGACAAGTGCCTGGCCGCTGTGGCTGTCTGGATGAGGACGAACAGGCTGAAGATTAATCCCGACAAGACAGAGGTCCTCTTGGTAGATCGTAAACCAGATCGGGGTATAGGGTGGCAACCTGTGTTGGACGGGGTTGCACTCCCCCTGAAGTCACAGGTCCGCAGTTTGGGTGTCCTCCTGGACTCATCACTTACGCTTGAGGCTCAGGCATGGCCGGTGGCCGGGAGGGCCTTTGCACAATTAAGACTCATGCGCCAACTGCGACCGTACCTAGTGAAGGTGGATCTGGCCAGGATGGTCCATGCTTTAGTCACCTCCAGATTGGACTACTGTGATGCACTCTACGTGGGGCTACCCTTGAAAATGGCCTGGAAATTTCTACTGGTTCAACGAGTGGCGGCCAAGTTGTTAACCGGAGCTCCTAACAGGGAGCGGTCAACCCTTCTGTTTAAGGAGCTCCATTGGCTGCCATTCATTTACCGGTCCCAATTCAAGGTGCAGGTGCTTACCTACAAAGCCCTAAATGGTTTGGGACCCGCCTACCTGCGTGACCGCATCTCTGTATTGCTCTAATTATTGCTCCCACAGTTGATTTCTTCACACCAAGCTCTTTGCCTATTGCAGATTCAGGCTTCCCAGTCTGGTGCAAGTGACAATTTTGTTTCTGGTGTCCTTCAACAGCTCTTTGGTCTTCACCATAGTGGAGTTTGGAGCATGACTACTTGAGGTTGTGGACAGGGGTCTTTTATATTGAGAACCAGTTCAAATAGGTGCCATTACTACAGGTAATGAGTGGAGGACAGAGGAGCCTCTCAAAGAAGAAGCTACAGGTCTGTGAGACCCAGAAATCTTGCTTGTTTGTAGGTGACCAAATACTTATTTCCCACCATAATTTGAAAATAAATTCATTAAAACAATCTTTCGGTCAGCAAGTTCAACAACTCGGCGGTTTAACTCACTGCGCCACCAGGGGGTCCTTAGAAATGGAATAGGTCTTCTCAATAATGTGAATTAATATTAAAGGAGAGGCATCAATGTTTAATTAGTTCAGAATTTGTATTAAGCAAATTAGGCTCTAAACCAGGGGTCCTCAAACTAAGGCCTGCGGGCTGGATGCAGCCTTCCAAGGCCACTTACCTGCCCCTCACTCTAAACTTTAGACTGAAATGACACACAACAAAAACAACAATCCTTATTAACTTGACTATCTCATCAGCCAAAAGCAGGCCCACACTTCCCATTGAAATACTGGTACATTGATGGTGGTTTAAATTGTTCTTCACTTTAAATATTGTATTGTCCTTTCATGATTTTTGCACTACAAATAAGGTATGTGCCGTGTGCATAGGAATTGATTTGTGTTTTTTTCAAACTATAGTCCAGCCCTCCAACAGTCTGATGGACCGTAAACTGGTGTGAAAGGTTTGAGGACCCCTGCTCTAAACACTCTAAATCAGGTATGGGCAAACTTCGGCCCTCAAGGTGTTTTGGACTTCAACTGCCACAATTCCTAACAGTGTGGCAGTTGAAGTCCAAAACACCTGGAGGGCTGAAGTTTGCCCATGCCTGCTCTATATAGTGCAGTAGTTCTCAACCTTCCTAATGCAAACATAACATTATTTTTGTTAATACTTCATAACTGAAATTTTGCTACTGTTATGAATTGTAATGTAAATATCGGGCAGGCAGGATGTATTTTCATTCACTGGACCAACTTTGGCACAAACACCCAATGAGCTCAAATTTGAATACTGGTGGGATCGGGGGGATTAATTTTGTCATTTGGGAGTTGTAGTTGCTGAGATATATAGGTCAACTACAATCAAAGAGCATTCTGAATTCCACCAATGATGGAATTGAACCAAACTTGGCACACAGAACTCCCCTGACCAACAGAAAATACTGAATACTGGTGGGCATTGACCTTGAGTTTTGGAGCTGTAGTTCACCTACATCCCAAGACCACTGTGGACCAAACAATGATGGATCTGAACCAAACTTGGAACGAAAACTCAATATGTCCAAATGTGAACACTGGTGGAATTTGGGGAAAATAGATGTTGACATTTGAGAGTTGTAGTTGCTGGGATTTATAGTTCACCTACAATTAAAGAGTGTTCTGAACCGCACCAACAATAGAATTGGGCCAAACTTCCCACGCAGAACCCCCATGACCTACAGAAAATACTGTGTTTTCTGATGTTTTTTGGTGACCCCACCGACCACCGACCAACTTACAAATAAACTGGAGAGATATTGGGAAAACTTTCTTCCCCATAAATATTAAACTGGAGGGATATTGGGAGAACTTACAGACAAACTGGGGAGATATTGGGGGGACTTACAAATACACTGGGAAGGATACTGGGGAAACGTTTTGCCCCATAAATATTAAACTGGGGGGGGGGGGGATATTGGGAGAACAAACAACCAGTGGAGATACTGGCAGAACTTTCTTCCCCATAAATATTAAACTGGGGGGATATTGGGGGGGGGGGTACATTCTTCCCCTAGAAAGCACACCATCTTGTGACAATGCACAAATTGGGGAAACCGGGCTCCAGCATGTACAAGGTCTGATACATTCAAGACTGAGTGTTTGCCAATATTTTTCAAGTAGAGAAGCAGCAAGAATAAAAGATTAATGTTATTTAATGGGAAAATGAGAGGAGAAGTCATGATAGAAGCCAACCCCTGTGGCCGGAATGAGCGCTGTTCCTACCATCGGCAGAGGTGGGAGTCTGGACCAGGCTTTGCTGACCTGGCACGGGCGCCCGAGCACTGCTGATTAGGAGGTCAAACTTGGTGCTGCGGCAGGTGTTGGTGCACACCTTGTCGTGCTGGTAGAAGTCAATCTGGCCCGAGTCCATCATCTTTCTGCACAGAGAGTGGGAAACAAAGCCATCAGGAGGACAAGAAAAAAGATCTTCAGAAGAAAACCTTCTTATTCAAGCAGGCTTTCAAGATCAAACCAGGGTGTTGTGGTTTTAGCTTTAAAGATGTTTTAAATCAATTTTTATGGATTTTTACTGTGATTTCCCCCCCATTCATTTTTATTAAGCATTTCAAAAAAAATCACACAAAGAAAAATGAGAACAAAAAAGACGATGTGGATAGCAACGGGGATAGAAGACGATGCCTACTATGTCACCAAGAATGAGGAAGGGGATTGAGGGGGAAGAGAAGCCTTATATTTGTTATATTTGTTAAAATTATTACACCTATATCTTCATTTAGCACAGCGTGGAGCAGCATGAGCTCCTGCCATTAGCCCCAGCTTCTGCTAACCTAGCAGTTCGAAAATGTGCAAATGTGAGTAAATCAATAGATCCGGCGGGAAGGTAACGGCACTCCATGTAGTCATGCCATGTAGTCATGCCAATGGCCACATGACATTAGAGGCGTCTATAGACAATGCCGGCTCTTTGGCTTAGAAATAGAGATGAGTACCAGAGTTCCAATCGGGGTGAAGTACAGAGAGCGGTCAAACCTCCTGTTTAAGGAGCTCCATTGGCTGCCGTTCATTTTCCGGTCCCAATTCAAGGTGCACGTTATTATCTACAAAGCCCTGAACAGTTTGGGACCCAGCTAACCTTTGTGACCGCATCTCCTACCACAAATATGCACGATCTCTTCAATCTTCTGGAGAGGCCCTTCTCTCACCCCTTCCTCTATCACAGGCTCGTCTTGTGGGAACGAGGGAGAGGGCCTTTTCCGCTGTGGCCCTCTGCTTTTGGAATTCACTGCCTAAGGAGATCAGGCAAGCCCCCACCCTATCTGGTTTTAAGAAAGACCTAAAAACCTGGCTCTTCCGTTGTGCTTTTGGAGAATAACCATTCAACCCATCTGGTTGTCTTAGTCTACAGCTGCTCTCGGAATAAAGCATCTACCCCACCGCCCCTAAAATGGCTTAATCCCATGGTTCCTCCCTATTGGGCTCCTTTCCTACAAATGCACTTTTATCCCTATCTCACCCAGGGTTTTAACTTTTTTAACATTTTACCTCACACATTTGGCCCGCCCTTCATGTCTGGTTTTAATATGGTGTTTTATATTGTTGATTTTGTTATTTTATATTTTGTTATGATGTATTTTGTTACTGTGTGTTTATTATATTGTATTATTTTGGGCTTGGCCTCATGTTAGCCGCACCAAGTCCCCTTTGGGGAGATGGTAGCGGGTTATAAATAAAGTGTATTATTATTATTATTATTATCCCAGAGTCGGGCACGACTGGACTTAATGTCAGGGGAAATCTTTACCTTTACCTATCTTCATTTCAAGTACTTGTGCTTGGCTACTCTGCTGCTGAATACACATGCCCAGTATGGAATACATCTCACCATGCTCTTAATGAGACATGCTGCATTGTCATAGGATGTCTATGCCCTACACCACTGGAGAAATTATAATATTTAGCAGGTATTTAACCACCTGATATCCGCTGGGAAGTAGCAGCCAATAATGAAAGGGCCACCCCCTGTTTGGATATCAGCCAGCACGCCAATGACTTAAATCAAGAAAGAAACCACTTTCTAGGATCTACAGAGATACTCGCAGGAACACCCAAGCAAGCGAGAGTCCAAAAGTGGCAGGTTAAAACCCGGAGCCTCAATCAGTGGCTGAGATCAGATGAGAGGCTCACTCTTGGGCACACAGGAGGCTGGGTGACTTGGAAGGTGCTGAACAGACAGTGCTCTGGCACTATGAGAAGCGGAGCTAACCTGTTAAAAATGGGGCCTCAAAGTGAAGTCTACAACACACGAGTGTAGAGAGGAGCAAACCACAGGCCACCTACTACAATGCAACCTGGGTCCTGCCACATGCACAATGGAAGACCTTCTTATAGCAACACCAGAGGCACTCAATCAATCAATGATTTATTACGGTCTATGGCCAGCACACTATAGAATGGGGCACAGGTGCCCAAGGAAGGGAATCGCAGTTCCCAAGTAGGTCAGTTAAAAAGCAGATTAAAAACATGTTATAAAAGAGGCAGATTAAAAAACAAACTAAACTTACAGTTTAAAGTGCAGGTATGAGTCTAAAAGAGAGGGGCAGCTAATAGGAAATATCAAACCACTAGGAGGCTCTAAAGAGGAATGAGAGGGAAGAATTTACAACATTTCAGTTATTACAAATTACTCTAGCTGTATTCCCGGCAGGAAGTTGCCTAGCGGTGTCAGTCATCAACCGTCTAATGTTAATTGCTGCTGCACAGAACTTGGCAACACTATGGGTTATGGGTTATTGCAGAGCAAGAGTCTGGGAGCAGCAGGAAGGTGTAATATCTTTCAGTGCGCCCTGGATGTTTTAAAAGCCATGGAGTTATGAGATTGGCTCTTTATTTATCGTGTCATCCGCAACCAGAACATTGTATTACATTTCTAACAGAACAAAACAAACAAACAGATAAAAAAAAACAAATTTTGCAAACTTGGTAGCTGATTAAATGTCCTTTGACCAGTATCTGGCCACTTGGAGTGCCTCTGGTGTTGCCGCAAGAAGGTCCTCCATCGTGCATGTGGCAGGGCTCAGGTTGCATTGCAGCAGGTGATCAGTGGTTTGCTCTTCTCCACACTCGCATGTCGTGGATTCAACTTTGTAGCCCCATTTCTTAAGATTGGCTCTGCATCTCGTGGTGCCAGAGCGCAGTCTGTTCAGCGCCTTCCAAGTCGCCCAGTCTTCTGTGTGCCCAATGTTCTGGTTGCGGATGACACGATAAATAAAGTGCCAATCTCATAACTCCATCTGGTATCACCCATGGATTGAGGTGCTGGGTTTGAGCCTGCCACTTTTGAACTCTCGCTTGCTGAGGTGTTCCAGCGAGTGTCTCTGTAGATCTAAGAAAACTATTTCTTGATTTAAGTCGTTGACGTGCTGGCTGATACCCAAACAAGGGATGAGCTGGAGATGTCTCTGCCTTGGTCCTTTCACTATTGGCTGCTACTTCCCGGCGGATGTCAGGTGGTGCAATACCGGCTAAGCAGTGTAATTTCTCCAGTGGTGTAGGGCGCAGACACCTTGTGATAATGCGGCATGTCTCATTAAGAGCCACATCCACTGTTTTAGTGTGGTGAGATGTGTTCCACACTGGGCATGCGTACTCAGCAGCAGAGTAGCATAGCGCAAGGGCAGATGTCTTCACTGTGTCTGGTTGTGATCCCCAGGTTGTGCCAGTCAGCTTTCGTATGATATTGTTTCTAGCACCCACTTTTTGTTTGATGTTCAGGCAGTGCTTCTTGTAGGTCAGAGAACGGTCCAGAGTGACTCCCAGGTATTTGGGTGCGCTGCAATGCTCCAGTGGGATTCCTTCCCAGGTAATCCTCAGAGCTCGGGATGCTTGTCTGTTTTTAAGGTGAAAGGCACATGTCTGTTTTAGATGGATTAGGGATCAGTTGGTTTTCCCTGTAATAGGCAGTTAGAGCACCTAGAGCTTCGGAGAGCTTCTGTTCAACCATCTCAAAGCTCCCTGCTTGAGCGGTAATGGCACGATCATCAGCATAGATGAAACTCTCTGTCCCTTCTGGCAGTGGCTGGTCATTTGTGTAGATGTTGAACATGGATGGAGCAAGCACGCTCCCCTGAGGCAGGCCTTCTTCTGTTTCCGCCATCTGCTTCTCTGGCCCTGGAACTCAACAAAAAAGCTCCTGTTTTGTAGCAGGTTTCCTATGAGGCGGGTGAGGTGGTAGTCCTTTGTGATATTATACATTTTTCTCAGGAGGAGGCGGTGGTTCACAGTATCATAAGCCGCTGACAGGTTTATGAAGACAGCTCCTGTGATCTGCTGCTTCTCAAAGCCATCTTCTATGTGCTGAGTCAGGTTCAGCACTTGCGATGTGCAGCTTTTGCCTTTCCTGAAGCCAGCTTGCTGTGGAATCAGACATGGGTCTATTTTTTCCATAATTCTATGCAGAATAAGTCTCTCCAGAACTTTGTAGAGGTGGCACAGCAGGGAGATTGGTCTGTAGCTTTTTGGATCATTACGGTCTTTGCCTGGCTTCAAGATGGCAATGACTCTTGCTTTCCTCCAGATTTTGGGGATCTGACAGGATGCAGTGCAGTTGTTCATCAGCTCCAGCAGCCAGCGCCTTGCTTTTGGGCCAAAGTTCTTGATTTGTTCCATCCGTAGATCATCCAGGCCAGCTGCTTTGCCATTTTTACATTTATTGAGAGCCATGTCCAATTCAGTAGATGTAAAGGGTTCATGAAGGTTGTTGTTCTCAATCTCTTGTTGTCTGGCTATTGGTTTCTTTCCTACTTTGGTGGCAAGGTTGGGTTTCCCATTCTTCAAGAGTTGGTATGCTATCTGATCTGCCTTTATGTTGGCATGGGTATTAGTTTGTGAGGGGTTATTGGCTAGATCCGTCAATGGTAAGACCGCTGCCATTCAGGACCTGATCTGGCGTGCATTACTGAGACCTGGTTGGATGAGCTGGGGGGAGTAAATCTCACTCAGCTGTGTCCACCGGGTTTCGGAGTGCATCAGCAGGCCAGGCAGGGGGGCGGGGAGGAGGGGTCGCAGTGGTCTTTCGGCAATCCATCGCCGTGGTCAGATGCGCTGTTCCGCAGGCACCTGGGTTTGAGTGTGTCCACCTGAAGGTGGGGAACCGTGACAGTGTGGGGTTTCTGCTGGTGTACCGCCACCCCGAGATCCAGCAGCTTCCCTGTCTGAGTTAGCGGAAGTGGTCTCCAATTCGGCCTTGGTCTCCCAGCGCCTGGTGGTGCTGGGAGACTTTAACATCCACGCTGAGACCTCCTTGTCCGGCGCAGCTCAGGACCTTATGGCCGCCACGACGACCATAGGACTGTCACAAATTATATCTGGACCCACCCATCGGGCTGGACACACACTCAACCTAGTTTTTGTGGCGGAC